GGCCTGTGCCAGGCACTGGCTAAGCACTTTGGGCCTGAAGGATACCCTCTAAGGAAAGGTTCCAACACTTGTACTTAGGTCTGTTTCCTACCTACCTGGAAACTTGACACTGGATATTCAACACACTTGCCTGTTTAGTGTTCCCCACTTCGGCTTTCAGCTGCAGTCCTCAGTGAGCCCTCACTAAGGGTTCTAGCTCCTATATATACCTTACAGGCATAATTTTTCAGACAGCAGTACAATGAAAGCTTAGTAATCATGTACCAGTAAACAGCTAGTGTATATATTTATATGCAGTGATTTATCAAGTGCTTTAGATGCATCCTTTTATTTGATCCTTAAAACAACCCCCTGCAGTAGATGTTGTTAAAGTCTCCATTATCCAGATATGGAAACAGGATCATAGACATGCCATTGTGTGACTATCACAGTGACACAGTCTGTAAATGACCAAGCTAAGACTCATATCTATCAATATAAAGAAGTCATATGAGGGGCTGGGAAGTGGCTCAGTGGTAGAGCGCTTGCCTTGCATGCCAGAGGCCCTGGGTTCGATTCCTCAGCACCACATAAGCAAAAAGAAAAAAGCCGAAGTGGCGCTGTGGCTCAAGTGGTAGAGCGCTAGCCTTGAGCTGAAGAGCTGAGGGACAGCGCCCAGGCCCAGAGTTCAGGCCCACAACCGGACCCAAAAAAAAAAAAAAAGAAGTCATGTGAGTAACTACAGTGCCATATACTGCCTTACTCCAATGGTCATATCATGTTAGGTCAGCCCAAATAGCAGAGAGAGAGAGAGAGAAGGAGGGAGGGAGGGAAAAGGAGAGAGAGGGAGAGGGTGTCAAAGACAAAGACAGAAAGAGGGATAGGGACACAGAGAGATGAAAATGTGCTCAGTGCATATTATTAAGAAGATAGAAAATCATGATACACTTTTCAGTAAGATTTCTACCCAAACTCGATAAAAAAAAACATTTTTAGTAAAATTTCTATCCAAAGTGGATAGAAACATTTTCAACATTTGTGCTTAACAGAGTAAGCTTTAGTTATCAGAAAAATCCTCAACAATACCAGAACCCAGATGCTGCTTCTGTTTCATCTAGTATTCTTAGCACTGTAAAGTTCAGTATACCTTCTGGCAGATTCCAAGCACAGAAATCACTGGCAACTTCATTATGTTTTTATTTGAATTCTTTTAAAGAAAATACTAAAATAGGTTCCATAATAGACATCATTCTCTAAGTGATATCAAATAGTCTGAAGCCATATTCTACCTCCAAAGCCTGAAAAATACATAGGGACACAGAGACAGAGCACTCTCAAATTGGGCAATCAGGAAGCCTGGGATAAGGTATAGCTTGATACTAGGGCTAACTTTAGGAAAAACTGGGAAGGAAGCCAAGTTTATAAGAGACAAACCTACTGTGACTATTAGTAGTAGTAATAAATAGTTAGAATTAAAAGGACATTTTCTATTTCTAGGTATTCTTCTGAGGACTTAAAATATGAGAATTCAAGCCAGGCACCAGTACTCTTAGATATTCAGGAGGCTGAGATCTGAGGATCCTGGATCAAAACCAACCTGTGCAGGAAAAGTTTGTGTGACTCTTATCTTCAATTAACTACCAGAAAACCAGAAGTATGGGGATAGGAGGGAAAAACTAGAAGAGAGCAAAGGAAGGGGTAACATTATCCAAAAAGAAATGTACTGGGCTGGGAAGGTGGCTCAGTGGTAGAGCGCTTGCCTTGCATGCCTGAGGCCCTGGGTTCGATTCCTCAGCACCACATAAGCAAAAACAAAAAAAAACCGTAAGTGGTGCTGTGGCTCAAGTGGTAGAGCACTAGACTTGAGCTGAAGAGCTGAGGGACAGCGCCCAGGCCCAGAGTTCAGGCCCCATGACCGGACCCCAAAAAAAAAAAATGTACTCATTACCTAACTTACAAAATGGTAACTCCTCTATACATCACCTTTATAATAACAATTTTAAAATACTTAATTTTTAAAAATCCAGAAGCCAGGGGCTGGGAAGGTGACTCAGTGGTAGAGTGCTTGCTTTGAATGCATGAGGCCCTGGGTTCGATTCCTCAGCACCACACAAGCAAAAAGAAAAAAGCTGGAAGTGGTGCTGTGGCTCAAGTGATAGATCGCTAGCCTTGAGCTGAAGAGCTGACGGACAGCGCCCAGGCCCAGAGTTCAGGCCCCACGACCGGACCCCCCCCCAAAAAAAAAATCCAGAAGCCAGACACCAGTGGTTCATGCCCGTAATCCTAACTACTTAGGAGGCTAAGATCTGAGGATCACAGTTTGAAGCCAGCCTAGGCAGGAAAGTCCACTAGACCCTTAACCCCAACTACTCTTAACTACTCAGAAAAAGCCACAAGTGGCACTGTGGCTCAAATGGTGGAATGCTAGCCTTGAACAAAAAAGGTCAGGGACCATGCCCAGGAAGTGAGTTCAAGCTTCAGTACTTACAAGGGGGAAAAAAAGCATGGGAATTAAATGCATAGCAATCTTATGAGATGGTATTAATCTTATTTTACAGATGGGGAGAGAGATCAAGGCGTAGAGGTGTATTTAAGTGACATACCTAACATCACAAAGTCACTAGTGAGTAGAAACTGGGATTCAAGCACAAGAAATCTAAGGCCTGAGTCCATGCTCAAAGTACTACTGCTAGCACACTTCTGTTAGCTTTTCAAGGCCTTTATTTAGAGGTGTTAATAGGAAAGAGTGACAATAGCCTTTCTTCTCTTCCCAACTTAGGGGATTGCAGTAAACCTCTGCAGCAGCCAGTGGCACATTTTAGGTTCTCCTTATTAGGGAAGTACACCTACAAAAGATTTTTCAGGGGCTGGGAAGGTGGCTCAATGGGAGAGTGCTTGTCTTGCATGCATGAGGCCCTGGGTTTGATTCCTCAGTACCACATAAGCAGAAAAATCTGGAAGTGGCACTGTGGCTCAAGTGGTAGAGTGCTAGCCTTGAGCTGAAGAGCTGAGGGACAGCACCCAGGCCCAGAGTTCAGGCCCAACAGACAAAAAAAAAAAAAAAAATTTCACCTGAAGCCTGCTTTCAGGGGATGCTATACTTAAAATGGGGGCAGGAGGGCGCACTGGGAACGTGGCTTAGTGATAGAGTGCTTGCCTAGCATGCATGAAACCCTGGGTTTGATTCCTCAGCAGCACATAACCAGAAAACACTGGAAGTGGCATGGTGGCTCAAGTGGTAGAGTGCTAGCCTTGAGCAAAAAGCAGCTCAGATAGTCACCAAACAATTTCTTCTGTTAAGATTCTTCATTGCATGAATGTAGAAACTGCTTAGTAAAATTTTCCAGCTCATTTTCAAGTTGAACAGCTTTGTTTCTTAAGTACTTTGAATTGTTTTGTATTTTTTCCTACTGATCTATATCTTTGGATAATCTTGCAATTTGTTCTTCCAGATGTCTTTGGGTAATATCAACTTGTTGGCACAGGCGGGCAAAAGTAGTGGCCATTTCTTGCTGTACTTGGTGGCTGCAGTTTGCACTGGTGAAGCTATCATCTGTAGTTTTTCAGTTACATAGTTCACAAACTGCTGTTTAAAGGCTCTCTCCTTGGCACGGGTAGTCCATGTCAGCCTCTCATAAAGATACAAAGCTCCATACATGCTTAGTGAAACAGATATGAGTTTCCAGCCTATAGTTTTCCAAATCACTCCTCCAACAACTAAGATTCCCACAGAAGTTCTAGATGTAAGACAAGCTAATCCTGTTTGGTGACTATCCTAAGAGGAAACGGGACTAGAAGATTGAGAAAGTTTTGGGGATTTTTGTGTTTGCTTTTTTTTTGGACGAAGTAATCAGTATGGATTATACTAACCAAATAGCAAATCTCTGTATAGATTTTAGTAATGATCTCAGAGTGTTTGCACAGTTTCAAAGGTGTTATATGTTCTTAGTTTTAATTTGGGACAAAAACTAAATTGTGTTAAATGATTAATTAGTTAAAGGCAACAGAACCAACTATGTGACCCCTGAAGGGTGGGTCCTTGAGCTCTTAGTTAAGGCTTTGTTTCTGATTCTGAAAAACTCTGCTTCCTGGCATCCAGGAGTTAGAGAATCATCTTTTCATCTTCTCAAAACTAGTTTTTGATGCCTTCTTTAATGGGAATAGGAAGTTTCTTATGTATTACAAGTTGCATTGCTCTAACCACCAGGAAGTGTAGAATGTTCTTTAGTGTACTATTTATACAAGTTACAAGCACTTTGCCATCATGGCAAGTATGTAAACCCCTAATATGCTGTTTTTAGCCTTTTATTCCCATTAAAACTGATGTAACACAGTAGAAAAAAAAAGCAGCTCAGAGACAGTGCCCAGGCCCTGAGTTCAAACCCCAAGCCTTGCAAAAAAAAAAATGTGTGTGTGTGTGAACTCAGAGCCTCGCCAGTTCAGCTTTTTTGCTCATAAGTGGCAGTCTACCACTTGAGCCATACCTCCAGCCCAGCTTTTTCTGCTAGTTAATTAGAAGTGGAGTCTTGCCAACTTTTGCAAGCCCAACTTTTTGGGCTGGCTGAACCTCAATTCTCCAGATCTTAGCCTTTTGGATAACTAAGATTACAAGGCATGAGCCACAGGCATCTAATAAAAGACACAATGTTTGTTTTGTGTGTATGTGTGTGTGTGTTTTGTCAGCCATGGGGCCTGAACTCTGGGCCTGGGCGCTGTCCCTCAGCTCTTCAACTCAAGGCTAGCACTCTACTACTTGAGCCACAGCACCACTTCCAGCTTTTTCTGCTTATGTGGTACTGAGGAATCAAACCCAGGGCCTCATATACAAGGCAAGTACTCTCCTACTGACCTACCTTCCCAGCCCCAAGACACTATGTTTGGATGCTGATTTGATTTTGTTTTCTTTGGAATTGGTTTCTACAAATGACAGACACAAACAACCCACCACTGTGAACCTTTCATCTTAACTCTAATTTTCCAGAGTTTAAGATGAGCAAAGCAAGCCAGTTGAGTAGGCTCACCTCCAGTTGCAGAGACGCACATCCTTTCAGGAATTCATTGATATTGCTGAGGCAGCTGGCTTCTGTTTGGGGCTCCGGACAGTACTAGAGAAGCAGAGTCAAATGTCACTTGGAGATGGTCAATCTATTTCGAGCAAACTGTAACTCACCATTTGCTCATAACTAGAGGGAAGTACTGTCAATCCAGGAAGAGAAATAACCACTGAAGGAAGTGATGTCAATGTCTAAACGGTTGGTTTTTGCTTCAAATGCCACCAAGCTATTATAAATGTCATCTCATACCTTCAGCCAAATGTGGTGATAGCAAATTACAGAGAACAAGACAGATACTATTTTTTAGCTTGATTCTTGCTTTCAAGCAAAAAAGCAATATTTATTACTTTCCTCTCCCCACCCTGTGATAATTTATTGATGTTATTTTTCATTTTGGCTGTTTGCTCCATTTGATCACGTTTATCCATTTCTCAGGTTTAAGAAATTGTAAGTATATCTACTTGATCAATTAAAAAATAGAAACTAATATAAGAAGGCAAGAAGTGCTAGACTCACAGTCACATTTCTTGTTGTGTGTAAGAAAATAATTGTAGGACTGTCTCTTTAACCTTACCTAAAGTACCCACTCTAAAAATTATCCATTGTTGAGATGATGAGCTTCCAATATCAAAAATCTTCGATTTTTTTGAGACTAAGTTTAGTTTCATTTTGAATGCATGTTGCATTTAACACCTATATATGCTTTGATCTCTCCCTCTCCCCCCCCCCTCACTTCCCAAACCATATGTGATATTTTGGATTCTTTCTTCTAGTTCCTAACTGGTTCCTTCCTCAATAGATTTTTTTAAGACAAAACGGCATCAGTTATTAGGCAAACTGTTATATAGACTCAGATACACCTCAAGTTCCAAGCATGTCTGTGGTGCATGGAGAAATGTAACAAGTACCTCCACGACCCCGAACACTTGTCATCCGGGTGCTTTCCTGTTCAACATTGTGGTAGCATTTAGGGGAGAAGGCAGTGACTAAAGGATAGCGTTTAATTTTTCTGATATTTTCAACCTACAAACACAGTGAGAATGTCCAACTCTTAGAAAGATATTAAAGCAGACGATTCCCATTACTTGGGTAACAGAAAACTATCTGAAGAGTTTGATTATTGCTGCTCTGAGGTAAACAACCCCAAATTAGCCTTACCTTCTCCACTGAGCCAGGCAGAAGTCGGTTGAGCAGTTTACACAGCACTACCCCATTTTTCAGTGAAGACATCAAGAACTCTTCCGGATCACAGATGGTCTTTTTGGGGGAATCCAAAACTCCCAAAGATATCAGCCATGTCACGATTTGCTCTTCTGGATTCATTCCAGAGGCTAGTCTACTGTCTCAGGACCAACTATCTGGGGCACTTGCAAGTATGAAGCCACATCCGTGATTGCATCTGCTGCTCTCTTCCTTTTTATGAGTTCTCTTCTGATACTTGCAGAGCAAAGGCTTAAAACCACTTTTCTTAAACAACAGTGACACCCACTCACAAGGTGGGGTTTTTTTTTTCTTAATCAAAGACGTACACACAGGGAAAATTGACATAAAATTCCAGGATAACATTGATTTTTATGTTCAAAGCCTGCAAAAATAAATTTATGAGGATTAAAAAAAATAAAAAGGAACACAAACACACACCCCAAAACCCCAAAAGTCCAAACAGTGCAAAAAGCTATAAAGAAAGGAAGTGAGGAGGATGCTGGGAAGGGAGGAGAGAAAAAGAAAACAAGGTGAGCCAGCACTTCAGGGGACCTTGGAAATGAGACACTCATGGGCCAGTCTGGGAAACTGCTGTCAATATAGTCTAGCCCCGGTGATAATCTGGCTTCGGTTAGGGAAAAGATGCCAATTGGCTCTTAGGTTAGACAGATCTGAGCTTCTCAGGGAACTGTGCTGGCACAAGAGAGCTCAAAGACTTAGGTAGACTGTGATAATTCCCCCAAGAAATGGCCAGATGTCTTTAGACAGAGAGATATGTATGTTTCACCATCACTCCTTGCAAAACACATTGAGTTGCATGGTGACAATGTGCCAGGCAAATGAAGGCTGTGCCTGCTGTCAGCCATCATTGTGTATAAGCAGAAGCTAGGAGAATGGCATTTTAGTTTGCAGCCAAAAAGCTATGTTTAGGGAAATAGGCTAAGGATAACATCTGACATCCTGTTTACTTGCATTCTTTAGCAATTCTTTTTCTGGACCTGGTTCCACTACACAATCCAGCTGCAGTACCCTAAGCAAAAGCTCAGACACAGTCACATAAAGTGAGTAAAACACACTCGGAAACAGACTACTTGGGAACAAAAGAGTACTTGTCCTCTGTCTACACTACAGACTGGATGGTTTGTGTTTCTCCAACAAGAAACATTTTGCAATTAAAATGCTGCTCTGGAATAAAACTAGTCTATGACAAGACATTTCTATAATTCTCAAACGTTTTCTGCACCAGTTAAAATAGTCATACTATTGAGATACTTACAATAGTGCCAACTTCAATAGTACTACCTTATGTGGATAAATACATAGTGGTTTTTTTGGCTATCCATCCCCATATATGGAAGCCATGCAAATAGTCACAGCTCTTCGCTGCTAAGCTTCAGAACCTTTCCAACACAACTGCAGGCATCTACTACTAAACGATCAGCTCACAAGATCCTACTAAACATTTTCAACATTGTCCCTTCTTGCTCTGTCATACCAACCTCTCACATTGTACTAATATTATTAGTGCATCTGTCTGCTCCACCACAGGGGAAGCTTCCTGGAGCAAGAGTCTTGTCTGTCTTGGGCACCCAGCAGAGTGTCTGGTACACACTGGAGATGTTCAGAAGTACTAAATGAAGAAATGAATGTACTCAGATGATGTTCCTGATACAGATACTACCTGATGATAACAAGGACTTTTTGTTTGCTTGTCATTATGGCACAAAAATAGACATTTCCCAGGAAGTGGCGCTGTAGCTCAAGTGGTAGAGCGCTCGCCTTGAGCTGAAGAGCTGAGGGACAGCACCCAGGCCCAGAGTTCAAGCCCCACTACCAACAAAAAAAAATAGACATTTCTCTTGCAAATACTTTTGACTTTGTCGAGATGAAATTGATGCATAATAAATGTCATACACTTAAAACATATGAGTTGGAAGTGGCGCTGTAGCTCAAGTGGTAGAGCGCTTGCCTTGAGCTGAAGAGCTGAGGGACAACGCCCAGGCCCAGAGTTCAAGCCCCACGACGGACCAAAAAAAAATATATGAGTTAATTGATTTGTGTGTGTGTGTGTGTGTGTGTGTGTGTGTGTGTGTGTGTATGTGCAAGTGTGCGCATGCGTGCTCCAGTACTAGGGTTTGAATTCAGGCCCTAAAGCTCTTGCTTGGCTTTTTCCATTCAAAGATGGTGCTTTACCACTTGAGCCATACAACTACTTCCAGCTTTCTGACCGGAGATGAGTCACAGACATTTTTGCCTCGACTGGTTTCAAACTGTAATCCTTAGATCTCAGCCTCCTACATAGCCAGGATTACAGGCATTGCCTGCCAATGCTTCCCCTGATTTGATCGATTTTGATAATACTTTGATCTTACTTACACTTTTGATACAATAACACAGACACACATAATCTAGATAAACTTTTTTTTATCACCCCCAAAGTCTCAATGTGCCCTTTTGACCCTTTATTTGGTTCATTCATCTCTACATCACAAGCAACTGTGCTTCAGTACCTTTCAACTAGTTTGTACTTTTAAGAATCTGATATGGGGCTGGGAAGGTGGCTCAATGGAAGAGCACTTGCCTTGCATGCTTGAGGCCCTGGGTTCGATTCCTCAGCACCACATAAGCAAAAAGAAAAAAGCCGGAAGTGGCGCTGTGGCTCAAGTGGTAGAGCGCTAGCCTTGAGCTGAAGAGCTGAGGAACAGTGCCCAGGTCCAGAGTTCAGGCCCCACAACTGGACCAAAAAAAAAAAAAAGAAACGTATGCTTCACCTGACTTAGGTAACTGTAACCCCTCTGTAGATCACCTTTATATTAACAATAACACTTTTATAGCCCCTCATTTAAAAAATTAAAAAAAAAATAGAAGTCCCCTACTTGGTTCTGTTGCATCTAGACTAAGGTCATATTTGAAGAAATGTTTTGATTTATAGCCTTCTATTCTACTCCACTTTCTGCCAATATCTAGTTAATTTTTTGTTGTTGTTGTTGGTCGTGGGGCCTGAACTCTGGGCCTGAGCACTGTCCCTCAGCTCTTCATCTCAAGGCTTGCTCAGCCTGGTGCCCGTGGCTCACACCTATAATCCTAGCTACTCAGGAGGCTGAGATCTGAGGATCGTGGTTCAAAGCCAGCCTGGGAAGGAAAGTCCGTGAAACTCTTATCTCCAAAGTGGTGCTGTAGCTCAAGTGGTAGAGTGCTCGCTTTGAGCTGAAGAACTGAGGGACAGCACCCAGGCCCAGAGTTCAAGCCCCACGACTGACAATAAAAAAATAAATGGATAAATAAATAAATAAATAAAGGCTAGCGCTCTACTACTTGGGCCAGAGCGCCACTTCCAGCTTTTTCTGCTTATGTGTTACTGAGGAATCAAACCCAGTGCTTCATGCATCTGAGGCAAGCACTCTACCACTGAGTCACCTTCCCAGCCTCTCTAGTTCATTTTTTGGTGCTATTACTGGAACTTGAACTCAGTCTGGTGTTAAGCGTGGGCCTTGTTCAAGGCCACCACTTTACCACTTGATCCACAGTTCTACCTTCTGGATTTTGTTGTTGTTGGTGGTGGTGGTGGTGGTGGTTGGGCTTGAACTCTGGGCCTGGGCACTGTCCCTCAGCTCTTCAGTTCAAGGCTAGTGCTCTACCACTTGACCCACAGTGCCACTTCTGGTTTTCTGGTGGTTTACTGGAGATCAGAATCTCACAGACTTTCCTGCCTGGGCTGGCTTTGAACCGTGATCCTCAGACTTCAGCCTCCTGAGTAGCTAGGATTGATTACAGCCATGAGCCACCAGCACTCAGCTTCTTCTGGATTTTTTTGATAGTTAGAGATGAGTCTCACAAACTTTTCTGCCATGGCTGCCTTTAAACCATAATCCTACTCTTGTACAGCTATGTGTGAATCACTGGAATTGTGCTTTCTAGTTCATTTTAATATCCACATGAAAAACAATCCAGCGTCATGTCCACTCAGTTCTCTAACCTCCTATTACTACAATTTTATCACCTCTCAGATCATGTTTATGCCTGTTCTGTGAACAGGACCCTTCATTTAAAAAGAGGTTGGGGGGCTGGGAAGTTGGCTCAGTGGTAGAGTGCTTGCCTTGCATTCATGAGACCCTCAGTTTTATTCCTCAGCACCACATAGCAGAAAAAGCTGGAAGTGGCACTGTGGCTCAAGGGGTAGAGCGCTAGCCTTGAGCTGAAGAGCTGAGGGACAGTGCCCAGGCCCAGAGTTCAGGCCCATGGCCAACAAACAAACAAAAAAAAAACACCTTTCTGGGGCTGGGAAGGTGGCTCAGTGCTAGAGCACATGCCTTGCATGCCAGAGGCCCTGGGTTCGATTCCTCAGCACCACATAAGCAGAAAGAAAAAAGCCAGAAGGGGCGCCGTGGCTCAAATGGTAGAGCGCTAGCCTTGAGCTGAAGAGCTGAGGGACCGCACCCAGGCCCAGAGTTCAGGCTCCATGACTGGACTCAAAAACAAACACACAAACAAACAAAAACACCTTTCTCAGTTGATACAATGTTAAGTAGTGTGTGTCCGTGTGTGTGTCCGTGTATGTGTGTGTGTGTGATTGTGTGTGTGTGATTGTGTGTGTCTGTGCAGGTCCTGGGGCTTGAACTGGGGCCTCGGCACTGTCCTTGAGCTTTTTTTGCTGAAGGCTAGTATTCTACCACTTGAGCCAAAGCTCCACTTCTGGCTTTTTGGTGATTAATTGGAGATGAGTCTCATAGGGCTGGGAAGGTGGCTCAGTGGTAGAGCGCTTGCCTTGCATGCATGAGGCCCTGGGTTCAATTCCTCAGCACCACATAAGCAGAAAAAGCCAGAAGTGGTGCTGTGGCTCAAGTGGTAGAGCACTCGTCTTGAGCTGAAGAGCTGAGGGACAGCGCCCAGGCCCAGAGTTCAGGCCCCGCAACCAGACCCCCCCCAAAAAAAAAAGTCTCAGAAACTTTCCTGTCTGAGCTAGCTTCAAACACTGACCCTCAGATAACAACCTTCTGAGTTGCTGGGATCACAGGTGTGAGTCACCAGGGCCTGCTACCATGCTAAATTTCATCAGTAAACTATAGAGGGGAGACAATGAAAGAAGAAGAAACTCCACTTCCTGTTTCTGGTAAGGTCTCGCCACAAAGTTCTCGCTGAGCTCCCAGCTTTCCTTGCGCCAATTTTGTGCTGCTCTGGCTTCCCCAAAGCACAC